AATCATCTTTAATTGCTTCAATAGTAGCAATATATTCAGATTATGTCATGGATAGTACAACTATGTATTGTAATTGTGATTTACAACTAACACATGAGTTAGACAAGGTAACCACAATCCTATGTAACCCCACACGATGACACGTTATTGCTGGAAAATTAAATTAAATAACCTAATGTATTAGAGTGAATCACGTCGAAAGGTCTGTAAAATAGAGAGATACGAATATGCTGCTTTAGTGCCACTATTCGCCCTAAAGTTTCAGCAAATGTACCAATGTGATTGACCAGTAATCGCAAGTCGAGATTCTAGGGATAAAATCGTCCAAAATCTGTCGTATAACTGAAATAAGAAAGTAGCAATATCAAAACGTTCAGTATGACAAAACAAACAATCTAACCAAATAGAGCATCTTCAGAAAAGCTATCATGCGTTATCGTCATTGTTGTCACTCACCACCAAGGGAGGAGCGCCTCAATCTGCTGACTCTGGGTTTGGCCTCCGTTCCTCCAGCTGGTGACTGGTTTTGTCGGAATTGAAGCTTTCAGGGTCGGGCAAAGAAAAAAAATCAGTTTTGGATATGAAAAATTTGTACCACGGTTTGATACCAAATTTTAAGCGGAAGATAGGTCACCAAGACATTTTTCTCGAGCTCAGTTTCACCAATCAATCGACACCTCAAATGAGAACAACCTAAATCCTCTCAACTATTCCCACACTTTGGATGCTTTGTATCACCCACTAAGGACGGAGAAAGGGAAGGTACAATGGTAGTCACAGAAGCAACCACTAAGGCAAAGAAGAAGAACAAAAAAGGACAGAAGCGAATTACACATAAATGCAGCCGGTTTTTTGGTTATATGAAAGCTAAAGAATCACATTGTTTGTTAACCAAGTTAGGATGCATCACACATATATAAGACACATTAGGTATAGTGATGGGCTAAGCCCAAAACAAATAAGTGAGTCAATATATATGGGCCGATACTTATTAGCCATCCAAGAAGCGGGGCAACGGGTCATGAGCAACACAAATTAATTATGTTACTTCCAATGGCAGGACTGGTTTTAGGGCCGGATCGTTTCATTGAGGTGTCAACTTGTCCAGTCATTTGGTTGATGCCGACTCAATAAATTTTACCGATTTAACATCATAATTCGGGAGGTCATTTGACAACAATTTGCCCAACAAACTACACACTCTCAAATATGACATCGAACTTATTTATATAAATCGAGAAATCCATGAACCGGGATCGAGGTATATATTGATACGAACAGTCCAACGGAATCAAGAATTTCTAGGAACATTTGAAACAATTTGTTTCTACTCTAGCAAAAATATTGTTTGCAAGTAGTGTTTGATCAATATCGTATTAATCAATTCATTTGATTGGTGTCTAATGTTACCGACATAAAAAATGTCTACACCACACTATTTCTTTTTGTCCAAGATATGTTATTATCAATCATTTAGTCACCAAAAGTACACATCTCAATTGAAGGGGGAATGGGATGTTGGGGCCAACTTTAAAGTATGTGTAAACATTATGAATATTTAACACATTGATAAAGGCCAGATCTTTTGCTTGTTTGGGCAACCTGTCCCTAAGAAAACAGTAGAGGTTCATTTATAATTATGCACGTCCAATCCTATGATTTCTAGTATTCTTTTACAATATATTGGATAAAATCAAATAGTTTTGGTGGATAAGGTAACAAATAGATTTAATCCGATAAGTCCAACGTACGAGTATAGTCCAACTGAAATGCCTTTGAATAGATAAAAATTAAGCTGACTTCATTATCACTAGTGATTGGGCTAAGTGGGTGGGTTAACCAAGGCAAGGATGACTAGAAATTCTTGTTCCAATTAGAATAGGCGAGGAGAGAGTCATTTAGCCAAACAAGTGCACTATTTCCAAACCACATTTCACAATAGAATAAGATGCGGGTAACCAATTAGCTCGACCAATGTCCATGTAAACAATAGTAATGGCGGAGCCAAGATTTTTAAAATAATTTCGAAATATGAGTTTGTAAAAAGGAAACACAAAAGATGCATAGTTTTTGGTAGGGTAAAAGGCATTGCAAAACGCGGTTTGATTTGAATTTTTCTGAATAATGCTGATTAAAGAAAGAGAGAGAATGGAGTGAGAAAGTTCTTGAATAATGTGCAATAAGAAAGAGTGTGGGACCATGTTTCCTCTGCCAACAAAACAACAGAAGATTTGTTTTTTTATTTATTAATTTCTGACTCTGTCTATCTGAGCAAATTGATAGCTCAAATTTACTCCTTTCCACCTCTTTCTTAGTTGGGTAAATTGAATTTGAATTCTCAACAAAATCTCTAATGAATTATTGAATTTAATTAAGAGGGTGTTTGGCCCCATTATTTTTTTAAAAAATTTTCTCTTTTTTAATTATAACATATTCTCCAAATAAAATAATATAACACACAAATCTATAAATTTCATTACTTTTCAACCGTACATTCTTATGTTTAATGTTAATTTAATTTCTCATCCCAAACATTCAATTACTATGTTAAAAGTTGACCTTATATTGGACCGTTCAAATGTATCATGAATTGTTTGCTTACTTGCTAAGAAAACTATTTTAAATTTAGTCGAGGTTAATCCACCGATGAACATTCAATTTTATATTTAGTGTCACCATAATAGCCCAATTTGATTTTGTTTCACCATGATCATCCAACTTTATATTTAGTGTCATCATAATCACCTAATTTTATTTTATTTTATCATGACCATCCAATTTTATATAACGTTTCATCATCACCACCTAATTTCATATAATATTCACCATGGCCGCCTAATTTTTTTTCACTGTTTTCACTAATTTTAAAAAAGGTAAAACGGTAACTTTGTATTATATATATAATATTTTTTTAAAAAAAAACAAAAATAATAGTTTTTTTAATTTTAAAAATGTTTATTTTAAATTAAGTTTTTATTTTATTTAAAAACTTTTTTTAAAATAAATTTTTAATTTATTTTATTTTTCTAAGTATTTTTTTAAAAAATAAATTTTAATTTTATTTTATACATATAATACAAAGTTACTGTTTCGCACCTTTTAAAATTAATGAAAATAGTGAAAAGAAATTGGGTGGTCATGATGAAACGTTATATAAAATTGAATGATCATAGTGACATGAGCCATGCTTTTGGATCAGGCCCAAAAAAAGGCGCCAATGTGGCGTCCTATCCTTAGGCCTGGCTTTGAGCCTGGCCAATGATATTTGCCCTAGTGAAATTGAGAATAAAATTGGGTAGCCATAATGAAACAAAATAAAATTGGATTAATATGGTGACACCAAGTATAAAATATGGTAGCCATTGGTGGATTTAACCCTTTAATCAGTGATGTTTTGTTCTTTTTCAGCTCAAAGACACACCAACATGTTTAAAGTTATAATAAGTCCCTGCGCGTCTTCATTATTTTAAAACTTTTTTTCTTTTTTATTTCTTCTTTTCAATTACACATTCATTTAATAAAATATTTTACACATAAATCAAAAACTTTTTCTCTACTTTTTAATCACACATTCTTAAAAAATTCACTATTTAAAATAATGTTTGTCCAAAAAAAATGACCACCAAGCATGAGCTAAGTGTTATACTAACCAAAACTCACTATTTGAAGTGAGATTTTTGTAGCAAAAATTACTATATAAAAAATGATCGAAATAGTTCTACAACTCTTTCCGATAAGAGGTTGACCATAGAGCCATCTCTATCGAAGAACAAGATAATCTCAACCATGAAATAGAAGGGAGAAAGACAATTGGTTGAACATGAAGAACCTTAACGACATTGAGCAGGAGTCCTTCCTACTGTGCCGGAGTATGCCTCACAAGAGACCAATGTGCATTAGAAGACGAGAATGTCTAAACCAAATGAATGATAAACAAAGGGAAGGGTACGAATCATGGGTCGGCCTAAATTGAAAAATAATGATTTGTTCCCTTAAGAAATTGGATCACAAAATAAAATCAGTTATTCTTATCTTAAGGGGGTCATTATTTAAAAAAAACAACACTACTTTTCTATCAAGGGATACGCCAAATCACACAAACAAAACTCAAATATTTGAAAATGACGCGAGGTTAAAAAATGCGACAAGAACTCTCTCTTTTTTTTGTTGGGGGTGGTGGGGGTGGTGGAATCAAAATCTCAAAATTCTTTTCTACGTTTTCTTGTTATTATTGAGTTTCTAAAGTGAAATTTCAATTATTAGACCTTTTTTTTTCCCATTTCTTCATATTATTCATTATCAATCATCTATTGGACCTTTCTCTCTCTAACAATTTTGAGGCCACAACTATCTCCCTTTTCTCCATTTTCAAGACTCATAACGTGCTGTGGTGTCATCATTGATTCTGCAAATATAAATTAATTTAGAAAATAGAGAACATTTTATAGCATAGGAATCTCTCTTCGATTTTCCATTTTAATGCCAGCTATTATAGTTCATATGTCAATAGTACAAAAGTACCTTTTGTTAATTCGTCTCAAGGAGGGATCGAATCAAACTTGATGCTCTCTAATGCTAATTCTAGTTTCATCTGTTCTTGCTATGTTTAAATTTTACCCCTCCACTAACTACTTTTACTAGTTCCTATTTGTGTGAAGACACCTAAAATATGACATCACATTGAATGATTGTTTCATATAAGATGCAAATGCTTACTTTTGAATATTGAAGAACCCAAAACCCAGTTTATTTATTTGATAAAATATTATAAAAAGAATTGCCTCTTAAATCAAATAAGTGAAAAATGGATACATAAATTATTAAACTAAAATAAAATTATTGGGGGTAATAAATTGAAGTTAGCCAGTAGCAATTTGGTACACATGATAATAAAGAAAGACATCAGAACATTATTGGCAGCTGGAACCACTTCCTTCTGTTCCCTTGTGAGTGTATTCAAATTACCATTTTCTTTCCTCACCACACACTCCTCTCCTCTCATGACTCCCGCCGCCAAACCACCGCCTCCACGGCGGCATTTACTTCCCCTCGTAACCATCATTTTCTTGTTGATTTCTCAGATCTATGCTGTTTCAGCAGCAGAAAAAGACAATGATTTGAATGACATTGTCAAGGATCTACAAAAACTTAGCTTTGAAAACCCGAGTCTTGCACAAGCCTACATTGCATTACAAGCATGGAAACAGGTCATTTTCTCTGATCCATTCAACTTCACTGCAAATTGGACAGGCTCTAATGTTTGCTCCTATGGAGGAGTATACTGTGCACCCTCTACGCGAAATGCGTCGTACAAAGTTATAGCTGGTATTGATCTCAACCACGGTGACATAGCCGGGTACCTCCCGGATGAGCTCGGCTTATTAACCGATCTTGCGCTTTTCCACATTAACTCAAACCGGTTTTGTGGTGTGGTACCGGAGAGTTTCAAGAAATTGAAGGTCCTTTTCGAGCTTGATCTTAGTAACAATCGCTTCGTGGGGAGTTTTCCTAAAGTAGTACTATCGTTGCCTTCATTGAAATTCTTGGACTTGAGGTTCAACGAGTTTGAGGGTCCTGTCCCAAACAGGCTTTTCGACAAGGATTTGGATGCAATTTTCCTCAACGACAACAGGTTCCGGTTTGGCATTCCTGAGAATCTTGGGAATTCGCCCGTGTCTGTTTTGGTGTTGGCCAATAATAATCTCGGTGGCTGCATACCGGGCAGCATTGGCAAAATGGGGAATACTTTGAATGAGCTGATTTTGATGAATGATAATTTAACAGGCTGCTTGCCTCCACAGGTTGGAATGCTGAGAAATCTAACTGTGTTTGATGTTAGTTTTAACAACCTCCAAGGTCCTTTGCCATCGGAGATTAGTCGAATGAGGAGTCTTGAGCAGCTAGATGTGGCGCATAACCGCCTGACTGGGGAGGTGCCGGCTGCCGTCTGCCAGCTTCCGAGGCTGCAAAACTTCACGTATTCGTTCAATTACTTCACCAAAGAGGCACCGCAATGTGCAAGATTTGGAAGTGGAAAAGTGTCGGATGGGAGAAAGAATTGTATTTTGGGGAAGAATGATCAAAGGTCTGTTAAAGAGTGCTCTTCCGATGCTGCTAAGCCGTATGATTGTAGTAAGTCCAAGTGTGGCGGCAGCAATGGCGGAAGCGGAGGCAGTGGTGCGCCAAAGCCAATCAGAAGGCCACCTACAAGTAGAAGGCCACCGGTTCCACAAAACCCACCATCACCAAAGCCAGGTAATGGACCGCGGCCGTATATTGCGCCACCAGGCCCACCACCACCTACATCAAGGTCTTCGCCAAATACTAAATCACACCCTCCACCGCCTCCAACTCCGACGAAGTCTTTCAACACACCACCATCTCCTCCTCCACCAACCCACAAAGTGTCTCCGGGGACTCATCTGCGGCCGCCACCTCCACCAGTTCACCATGAGAAGCCCTCCAAGCACACACATCCACCTCCACCTCCACCACCAACTTTTGAACCTGTGACACCATTGCCACCACTGCCGTCTCCTCCACCACCAGTTTCCCATAAACCCACTACTCCGCCACCCCCACTGCCTCAGAGCTCAACTCCACCGCCACTTCCACCAACTCATTATGGTTACAATCCACCACCGCCTGAGAACTCACCACCTACCTATCAACCTAAATCACCGCCACCTCCAACTCATCATGTTTACAATCCTCCTCCACCGCCGGGCCACCAGCATTCAATGCCGCCAGCTCCGTCACCACCAGGGTATTCCCCATCACATCCTCATTCCCCACCACCACCCTCCAGCGTCTGCAACGAACCACCACCACCTCCAAAACAACAATGGCACTACCCACCTCCACCACCAACATATGCACATCCACCTGCACCTCCACCGCCACCACATTACGTTTATTCATCACCTCCGCCACCCTCTTCATCACCTCCGCCACTTTACGTGTATTCATCACCCTCTCCACCCCCACCTCCGCCACCGGTGTACGAAAACACCCCACTACCACCAATAAGAGGAGTCTCCTATGCATCTCCCCCACCCCCTTCCATTCCATACCACTGATTCCTCTTCAAATTGAGGGACTACCAGTTCAAGAATCTCGAGTATAGTGCTAGTTTTGTTTTACTTTGATTTTCTTCAATTTTTTGTTCTCCTTAATCGATTGTATTATCGATCTTATAATTAAATTATATGTATGAGAATGGGTTGGATCTAATATGGTGCCATTTATTTGCACCTCGTCCAAGCCAAACCAAGTGAAAGATTAGATTCTTTCTAACATGAGGTATCATCGTCAACATTCCCTAGCACTCGCACTCAATGTGTCGAAGACTTGACATACAACATAGAAATGGTAATGTTCATGGTGCCAAGTGCCAACACCTCTTAGGTGATTTTCATTTGGCATAATTGCCAAGTAAAATGATCAAAACAAACTCCATTAGTGCACGAGTGCATCTTACAGAATCTGGATCCTTGCTATTTTGAAGTGTGAGATCATTAAGATTCTAATAGCTGCATACCGAACCATTTAAGGTTTCAACTAAAGTTTGTGTGCAAGTGCGGGTGTCGTCGCCAGAATCAAGGCAGTTTTGCCAGTCGAAACTTTCTTCTTCCTGTGAATTCACAGCACATCTGGGAGTATCTATTACCTTTGAATCATGGAGTTTAAAAACTCAGATTGCTACAAGGAAATTTCTATCTAGCTAACTCCCACAAGAATGGTATACAAATATGAAAGTGCCCATAATTGTATGAGATACCTAAGACTATCCACAAATATGAATACACGAATGTCCAAGATATGTCAACATATACAGCTTTTATGCTAATTTCAGACGAATCACTCGCCTTTTTCCAAAGAAAAAACATAAAGCCTTTTGTCATTGAGAAAGAATTATCGACGGAAGTGAATATTTACAACTGCTGGCTGCAAAAACAGTGTCTGTTGGATGGAGATTGCTAGAGGCAAAACTGGATGGAAGAGAAATGAGCAGATTTTTTTCGTTCGACAATCAGAGCTTCCAGCTTCAGGTCCTTTATAATTCATCCCGATCAAAAAGTCAGTTTAAAAGCTCAAAACAAGCAGGGGAGCTGGGGGAGGCATGAAATTCACTTGTATAAAGGTACCTGTTTTGATCTTGAATTTGAGAATATTTTGTTGCCTCCTTGAAATGAATCTGATGGGATGGTCAGCGGACTGTCTATGTCGGTCAGTTGCTGAAATCAGCTGTTGATAACATAGAGCAGTTACACAAGACAGTTACACAAGATCAAGCCACACACATATATTAGCCCATTGACGTGTGCAAAAAATTGGGACGGGTAGTTGAAAGTACGTTAGACAGTCCACAAAGTTCCATAACAAAGCATGGTGACACGACTCCGTGTCCATTTGATGTTCATAATGTATTAGTGCACAGCACTAATAATGACTACCGAATTTTTTTTATTTTTCCTCCCTTTCTTCCCATTGCTACGTCTCTAGTGTCTCAAAAATGGGTAAGATGCAAATATTATCAATCCAAATTGTGTTTCAGCTTCGATAAGCTACCAGATAATGCATTCAAAATGCACAACTGATTATTTTGGAATGCATGAAAGTACAAAAGAACATTTAGCTAGAAATCCGATAGCTTAAGTGCATGTTTAGCAAAGTTTACATTAGGGAAAATTGCAGCAGCGGTCCCTAATCTTTTCAATTTTTGCAGACTTTATCCTAACCTTTCATAAATATGCATCTGGAGTCCATTTGGATATAAACCGTTCACTTTTTTGTTAGTTGACCAAAAAATTAAAAAAATTGATCAATTTTGATCAATGTTGACCAAATTAAAAAGGGAAAAATGGTACTTTACATTTTTCGCATTATTAAATAAGTTATTTAATTAAATTAAAAAGCAAAAAATAAATATAAATATATAAACCCACACTCCCAAATCAAAAACTCTTTTCTTCTTCTCAAGCAAGACATTACCACCCAACCACCACCACCACCTTTGAGCACTGTCACCACCGCTGCCACCACAACTCCTCCCCACAACTCTCATTACTAGTGTTGGCACTCTCTATAAAAAAAACCAAGAAATGCCCACAGAACACTATCGCCACCACCATCGTAACAAAACTTTCCGGCCGCAAAAACCAATAGAATGCCAACAAAACACAAAAATTTTCGAAATCCACAAACCCCACAAATAAATCGATTCATTTGCCTTCGATTGAAAGCACAATCCCAATAATGGTATAAAAGAAACTTCACGAAATAATCGAACCCAGCTCCACCGCTCAATTTCACAAAAATTTCCTCCATCGCCTCTGCCCATTCCCCACTCAATTTCACAGAATAACCCGAACCCAACAGCACCACCTATTTCCCATTTTCTCTGCACAACAAGAAGCTTCTGAATTAACTCCCAAATTCATCGAACAAGGTTTATTGTCCGAAAACTCTGCAAATAGGACTTGAGTAATTCACTGCGAAATCCAGTTGTTTATCTTTTTTTTTTTTGGTAGGGGGGTTTATATATTTTTATTTATTTTTTTGGTTTTTAATTTAATTAAATAACTTATTTAATATGAGAAAAATGTAAAGTACCATTTTGCGTTTCTTAATTTGGTCAAAATTGATCAAATTTTCCATTTTTTTGGTCAACTAACGGAAAAGCGAACGGTTTCCGTCCAAATGGACTCGAGCTGCATATTTATAAAAGGTTAGGGCCTTCACTGACATAAAATGAAGGTTAGGGTAAAGTTTGCAAAAATTGGAAAGATTATGAACCGCTGCTGCAATTTTTCCTTTAAATTATAATGTAAACTGATCAAACACACTTTTTTACTCAAATATTTTATGGACTTGCAACTTATTATCCACTTTTTATCCAAACATTCCGTGGGAGCTGCAGCTTAAATTACAATCTAAACACTCCCAAAAAGCACTAAGCATTCAAAAGAATGTGTGGATTATAGAGTCGAACCTTCTCATCATATCGGAAGAGGGATTGGTCAAAGTAGGGGGAAGGACTCTGAGATTGACAATTAAAAGGCAAATTGACTAACATCTTCTTCACAAACTGCAAGATTGAAAAGACCATGGCACGATAGTAAAATCATACTGGAATTCTTATGCCAATTACATACTTTATTCCGTAAAAACATGTAAGATAATAAGATAGAAAGCATAATAACAAAATATTTGAATTCAATTTTCTTGATCAATTATTAATAATACCTGAGACAAGCTGGTAGCTTTATTTTTATTGCTCCATAGCTGCTCCAGGGCATGGATGTTATTTGAATGACTTGATATGAAATTCATGTAAAGTGATGAATTCTTTGATGACGAGTGAAAGTGATCGCAGAACAGTTCAAACAATGAATAAAGCTCCTCTGCAGAGTTCTACAGAAGATCAACAAGGAATCATACATATGTTTAATAGGGTAAATGATCGTCTCCAAATCAATTACTTCCAATAATGATCGTCTCCAAATCAATTACTTCCAATATAATCATTGGCATTTTCATGTCGACACTTGTGATATTCAAGCTTCAAGTGTTCTGACATCAGTGGATGGTGAGTAATTGGAAGGAACCAAAAACATTAGAGAAATCCTAGGGAGTACGATAAATTTGAAAAAATTAATAGTAGAATAAGAATTACAGACACCTGATAAAATGAAATAATTTCAGCAGTCTCCATGTTATATACAGCAAAAAAGGCAGGATGATTATCTGCATTTCGTGCCACCTGTAACTCAGAAAAATATGGAAAACATACATACCTGAATTAGTTGCAATGTATAAAATTGCAATTAAGAACGTAAAAATTTGGGCAAATTAGAAGATATCAAATGGCAGAAAACAGCACGGTTCATTCTTCATGTTGAAACTATAAACATGGTTTAGTTAGACCATTAATTGGTCAGGATCAGCCACAGAAGTCCAAGATATAACATTGCTAACTTTGTAGGTTAAAAGTAAAAGCATTCACATCACCAGAGTCATCAAGAGCAAAATACGTCAGTTAGGTTCCATGTGTTCATGAACAAAATATTCCAGTCAGACCAAAGAAAAAAATTGAACTTTAGGAGCTGATTCAAGGTACGTTATCAAAGGAGATTAGACGGACGGATCATCAGAAGGCTTGTCTTAAACCAGAAATACAAAATGTTGGTACCTAATCCACAAATTCTGTCATATACAACATAACAAGTATCCTCAATCTACTAGATTGGCATCATATGAAACATGTTAAACCAAGCTTTAGTAAAACATGTTTAACCAAGCTTTAGTGAACATTATAAATTGAGGAAATAAGTATCAAAAGTAGATTTGAGAAGCATAAAAGGAGAAAGCCTAAAATGAAGCTATTGAGTATTTCTTAAACAAAGAAGGACCATGTATCATAAATAGCTAGAAGTTCAAGAAAAGACTCGTAATAGGCTGCAAAAACAAACATATACTCCCTCACCCTTTTTGGCTTAATTCAACAAATGCGAGGAAGAAATGATAAGTTAGATAAGAGGAAATAGACATGTGAAAAAAAAAATAATAAATCTTGACTGATGATACCTCAAAAAAATTATTACTTCCATTTTATAGCGTACTTCCAATTGGCATGTAAGACAATGTGTGATACATGAGCTAATATTCTTTTTCTAATAGCAAAAATTCTTTTTTCTCTAACACCTAGTTCTGCACTCATTCATTTATCAACCCTTTTATATGCTTTTCTTGATGAATCAATAAAAATCATATCCAAATCTAGCTTCTTTTCTCCTCCCATCGATCTATGAAGTAATGTGTAGAATTGGACTGGTGAATTCAGCTTGGCTCTAATCAAGTTAACATTTGTATCTTTGATACGGTCCAATTTATGCTATGCCTTTCATTAAATGATTTTCTAAAATAATTATTTCTTCAAATGGATAAGCACAATATATTTGAGTTGTAGCCAAAACCTAAACAGTAATAACGCTAGTTCTTCATGGCCCTATTCTGCCAGAGCTAATTAAGATTGTTTAACAAAAAGGAAAGGTACCAACACTCAAATGACACAATCATACATAGAGATAAGTAAGAGAAATCAGTCCAAGAACTATTGAGTAAGAAAGAAACCTACCCCTCCACCAACACTGCCAAGTTTGATCAATAGATGATATCGGTCCAAGAATTGCACCTATGCATAATTATCAACCGACTGTCAAAAGTTCTGTGGGTTTAGTGACATATAGAATGTAAAGAAAGAGCTTGAAAGGAACAACAAACATAACTGTTTATTCTGATTTTTAGAGAGGCATCATATTCTATAAGCATTCAATAAGTTAGACCTCTACCTTCCAGATGATCAAATCTACATAATCTTGGAAATTGAAATAGAACTTCTTCTTCAGGCATTGCATTCTCTGGTTCAACAGAAAAAAGTAACATTATGCTAAGGAATCAAGAAAAAAAAATTATACTTTTCAGAAAACAGGCATCATGTTATGCTGCATTTTGACGTTGCTGTTTACTCCTGGTCATTTGATCAATTTGTGTGCTATCATGACTGCTACTACTGTGCATTATTCCTCGTAACGCTCACCCTCCAGAACCAGAAATTAATGACGATCGTCTGGAACTTGGATTGTTTGAGAAGCTAGAAATGGATAGGGACCATGAGTGGTTGACAGAAAGGCATGGAACATGCGCCACTTCCGTTGATGTTTGCTCTGTGGAGTGAGAAAAACATGAGGACTTCGATGGGATTGGAAATCCTGCAGGAGAATCAGAGGCTTCTTGTTTTCATTTTTCTGGAGTATCGAAACTATCACTGAGTGGGTGGGTCTTTTTGATAGCTTTCTACTCTCTACATCTCTGCATACAACTTGTTCACTGGATCTTCCACAATTTCGTCTCTTAATAAAAGCATTTTGATTGAACAAAAAAATCTGTCCCCGGCTTATTAGTAGAATTCTACATGACGTAAAAAGAAAGCCAGCTTTAAAGCATCTGTAAGCCTATAAGGAATTAATAGAATACGGAAGAATAGAGTATCTGCCAACCCTGGTTGTCACAAGGCTCTACTTCCTAAATATTTTGGATTGTTATTCATCTTTTACTATTACTCATCATCTCTGAAAAATTCTCTGCATGATAACCCAGTCATCTAAGCAGTGGAACAATTCATTTTATGTACGTTTGCCTAAGTTCTTTAACTACAATCGAAATCTTATTCTGAGAGTCAATTTTACAAAGATTTCCAATCATATTTAATATTGAACCCCTCATGCATAACTATAATAACATCATAGAATAGGTGAAAAATAAAATATATTCATGAAAAATAAAGAAGAAAAATAAGACCTAGAGAAAGAGAGATGAAGCAACTACACTGTAAAATTTCTAGCAGATCAATCCATAAAGAAACACCTAATAAAGTAAGTAATCTATAGAAGTTGGAAGATTTTTCAAAATTCCTAACACCTCTAAAGAGTTGAAGTAATCGATCACCTCACATTACATAAATGGTATATGTAGAGTCCTTAATTATCTAAGATACCCCATGCTCTACAGATGGAAAGTTATCATAGATGAACGGTGCACAATATTTATGTTGTCAATATAAATAAAGAAATATCAAAGATATCAAAGTCTTCATGATTATCATTATAGCGATAGAACTCACCAGCTTTGGATCAACTTCTTCATTCCATATTCCTCGAAATATGAATGAAAGCAACCGCTGCTTTAAACCACTCAAAAAAGAAGTTTCATGAATATATTCTACATGTGAACCATTCCCAACATGATTTGTAGACACTTGGTGCAATTTATTTTTGTCAGGGGCAGTGCACTGCAATCAATGAAATTGGGAGTTGGACTTACATTTAAACAAACTCCAAGTAAGAGAGCACAATGATGGAATGAACAAAACATCTATTTAAAGAAGGAGATCAAAGGTTTTCGAGTAGAGATCACAGTTTTATTCTTCCTTGCGACGCCTTTCAAACCTTCACACACACGACCTACAACCCACTCACTTCGAGGAGCAGTCTTCTTAAAGTAGTGATATGTTATAACACAGGAAGTGGGTGCTTCAGCAAATCAAATGAATCACCAGCTATATGTTATTTAAATCAGACATTCAAAAAAATATTCATACAGCCAATGATTCTCTGGTTGTTGATTTCAAAATCCTGAATCTGCTATTTGAGTTTTGAGCTATAGAATACTTAACAGAATCTTGCCCAAAAAATAATATTCATTGAAAGATGATCTATTTTTCAACCAACCCAACTAGAACCACTGTAGTCAAGCGATTGTTTTCTAAAAGTCTCTGAGGCGATAATATAAGATTGAGCCAAAATGGTAAATATGATTAGATTTCAACTGATTGAGCAAACAACAGCATCTTTTTCTCAGTTTGTAGTGTTCCGCATGCAGTTGAGTAGGAACAACAGATCACCCAATAGAAATTAAGAATAGTTCCATCAAGTGCTCAAGGCAGTACCACTTGCCTGTGCACTAGAGTTGAGGAAAAGTTCATCATCTTCACAGCAAAATTTCCCAATTGCACGCACATCAACAAAGTTGCCAGAGTCCCTAATCTGGAGAATGTGTATTCTTTGGTAACGCAGAGAGACTATGGCCAATAAATCGTCATACAAGAAGACACCCATGCTATGTGCTAAATTAACATAATCGTTGCAAAAAACCCTCTCATCAAGTATTACTCCATCTTCCAGTCTAAGTAATTAAGATCAAACCATAACAATGAGAAACTCAGTTAGTATCAGTGTTGTGAAACTCTAAAGTCAAAAGAGACAATACACACCTCAAGAGGTGAAAGGTTATCTTTTCAATTGATGGGATTCCTTGAATTGCACCTCCAACAGCAGGTGCATCATGAATTTGTGCAGTTGAAGTTGCAAATATTCCAAACTGTTTGCCTTCTATGTAAAGGAAGAAATCTTTGCATATAAGTTCACCACTGGAAGCAAGAGAAACACTATATAGTTGGGTGAAGAAACTCTCAAATTTGTTGGCTTTATTTGGAAGGTCATGAGCATAACAATCTTCTACTTCGCACGAAAATGACAACCATGTCGGTCTATAAACAATGAGATCCTGATGATTCCTGCTGAAAGTTATAAGATACTGTCCATCGTCTGTGAACTTACGAAATAAAAGGTCGGGGCATTCGATGTCATATATGGTATGACTTGGGACTATGTTCTCATAAAATCGCCTGGCACGATGAACCTGTGAGAATCAACAAATGATTTGGAGCTCATTACAAGACGTACTCAAAATCGACCTCAAATAAAGAGTATATCTACAAATGAAGCTGGAAAAAGAAAGCCGAGTTTAACGAAGAGCATGACAGCGCCCAACACAAGATGTTAGGATTCATTTTGAATTCATAAAAACAAACTATAATTGATCTCAAATACAGCCAACTTTATCATCTCACATGATCTTGAGTACAATATCTCAGACTAAATTGTGGGCTCAAGTTTGCTTATCCGTATAATGCGAAGTGGATGACCTCAAATTCCACTCTATCTTATGTGGTAAAATCAAATTAATACTTATTCAGTAACTAACAAGATTGTTCATGCAGTATACATAACAACTATGAATTTTTCAAATTGGCTCCATTCAGAACACAAAAGGAAAAAGGAGGTTTCTCAAAAATTGAAACCTCGATTTCTTATACAATAGCTGAATGCATTCTTGCTCGTCTATTATAGCTCAAGCTAAGCTACTCATTGAAAATCTAAAAACTGAAAAAAAAAAAAATGCAATTCCGCTTTAATCATTTCCTCTATGTTTGGCAGTGTGAAATAGGGAAGTACTAAGAAAACTTTCTAATTCTAAAATCAGAAGCCAACTCAATGCTCTCAGAAACAGCATCAGTAATTACTGAAAAAGGGGGCATCTTGATCAATCCCCCAGCTTATATTTCCATATAAATCCTCAAAACAGCAAAAAATAATCAAATTGACAGAAAAGAAGAAGAAATACACTGGTGCCAGGAGCAGGGTTAGAAATCTGCCGCTCAAAAATCCGGGCCGTAACATTGTTGCTCCTAAACATGAGTAATCCTTGTTCTGTTCTGATTAATTGATACTCTCAATCTGCTTGCTTCTTCTTCGTACCATGTGGATGTGGAAAAACAGTACTGTGTGATCTTCAGAGGGCTTTTGTGTACTGCATAGTGGTGGAAGTGGAAGTGGAAGTGGAGTGGATGAAGAAGAATACAGAGAGAAAGAGATGCGCGTTTTTGTGAGGGAGTGTGTGTACACGCAAGTGCAACGAATTCAAAATCCAATCTTTGTTACAAAACTTTTGTGTATTGTATGGCGTCTAAAAAAGATGAAAATAGGCGAAGAAATTGTGTAATTAAAGCAACTCCAATTTTGATATAAAATAGAACAGCACAAGAAAAAATTGACACAATTTTTATAGAAAAATACTTGACAATTTTTATATTGATTTCGGATCCAATAATGACAAAAAATGTGCCATAGAAGTGCTGCCACATGTACGGTTTATGTGAATTATTTAAAATACAATCATGCTACATAGACATGTTCAGTAACCAAGGTTAAAAATAGAGTGACACGTGGTACAACATTGGACATATTGAAAAAACAATTAGTCACACAGGTACTGCGTTGGCTGTCAACATCCCTGTCTCCAAATCTTGTTCAAGCAACATTATTCCATAAAATATACAAAGGGGTCAAAAATTTCTCCAATGGAGAGATGTAAAAGAAGTGTAAATTGTATTTTCCGACGGAAATTGTAAAAAGGGATAATTTTTCCCTTTGTTTTCTATTTCTACATCCAATTTATATTTAATTTTACACTACCATTGAAAATCCTCTATTCTCTAACTTTTAACACCTTTTGTAAACTTGACTTCTAATTTTGGACTTTTAAGTCACTAATTGTAGTGTTTTTGGTGGGTTGGATCCTTTGAATGGCTTACCACTCTCCATAAAGGTATCTGGGTAACACGTCTACATATAAAAAATAAGACTCGTCTTTTGGTTTTTTTTTACCCATATGATACCGTTTCTTTTAGATTTTGCCTATGGTTAGAAACGCTTGTGTTATAGGCCTCCTACGACAAATCAAATAAATGGGATGTCACTGATTCATCAAACTCAACAATAAGTACCTAGTGTACAAATATGTGGATAATAAGTTTGGAGCTTGAAAGAAAAATAAGTGTAAATTAAATCTTACACATGAATGTAAGAAAATTAACATTTTAATGATCTAACATGGAGTACAAAACCCTACTGAAACTTCTTAGTGTATAACATCGCTGCTTCGTAGACCTCTCGCCATTCACTTATATGCAGATGAAAATTTTACTATTTTAATATTTATGCAATTGAAATTTTATCTCTTTTCATCCCATAAAGTTGCATAAACAGTTTTTTAATGTTTCATGAATTATACTATTTTTGTCCATATTTAACTATTTGTCTACTTTTTACTATTTTTGGTTTCTATTATTCTAACTAATTTTTATATGTTTCATCCACTGGCTTTTAAAGCTTATTTGGAACGGATTTAAAAGGGAAAATAATTTATTTCTTTTAAAAAAAAATTGTAAATCCATAGAATGGATAATTGAATTCAGTTTTGGATAAAAATAACTTTTAAAAAATCATTGACAAACAAGCCTTCTGAAAATGCCAAGATAACACGATATTAAAAACAAGATTCCAAAAACACAATCTTCTGTAAAACTGCAGAAAATAAAAGATTGAATACAAGAGATTTATTTCAACCTAAGCCCCGGAGGTTCGACGACCACTTCAAATTCTTACATCCCTCGTTGAGCATTCAATAAATTGGATATTCGCTCGATTGCACTATATAGCCCAAAAATAGCAACAAAAGTTACATATCGTTTCTTCCAATATAAGAGAGAAGTACACGATACTTATCTTTTCAACAATAACTGCAGATCTACAAAGAATCATTTAAGAAACTTCAACTCGCATTCTGAAAACTACATCTATAAGAAACTCTTTATTCTTATAGTAATCACTCAGAAATATATAGATTCAGATGCTAAAAGTACACTGGTCTCAATTTCATATGGTTTATCAAGAGAGATAAAAACCACGGATCAAACCCCAACGTAAGAAGATAAGGGAAGAAATTTTCTATCAAAAAAACTCAGAAGTCAGAAGATGAATCGTCTCTAAAAAATGGTATTGTGCATGTATATATATCTCTCCATCAATAATACCAAAGATCAAGGGTCATGATATGGACACGTGTTGCAATCTTATAAAAAGGTTCCAACTCGTAAAAACGTGTTCCAGCATAATACAACTTTGACCAAATTTTGGGAGCACATCACAGATCAAGAGTTCGAGCATCAACACCTTCAATATTTCATGAATTGTCTAATCATTCTTGGAAATTGCTTGCTATCCGAGCATTGGATTTGTTGTAATGCATCAAATGCCCAACATTGAAAAGTGATTGCTTTGCATATAGCTTTAGTTTGGAGTTTTTGTGCATTTACCTCTTATCTTTCTCCATCCTAGTTGAAATTGTGCCTTTACAAGTTCTAAATATGCTTGTCATTTAAATTTACATTGTCGATATGGTTGAAGATTTCGGAATCAACAATATGTGGGCATAGTCATTTCGCCAAATCTTGTAAACTTGCGTTGATTGAGTTTATTGTTACTTGTGCTGAAGGGAAAATGTTTGCGTTGTGACTAAATATTGTATTGGATATTTTTCGATTGTTGGTTCCTCCCGTCAAGGACAATCTCTCCTTAATTACCTCTACAACATCAAGGACAAGCTGCTCTGAAAGCCATAACATTTCTAGCCAAACGGGCTCCACCGAATTCCCAAGTTCCTCCCGTCACCATTTCTGCTTTATGTTTCCGTGGGTTTGGTTTATAATCTTTAGAGAGGTTTGCTCTTTTTAATTTATAGAAGGATTTTTTATTTTAACTGTAAGTAAACAATAAAATTCTCTAAATTATCGCGACAATCCAAAGATAAGCAGCCATGTCCAAGTTGTTAGATTCTGTAGGGGCATTTTTGCTCAAAGGAAAACACGCTGGAACCGTAATTTACTTTCCAAACTAAAGCGAAGTTTTATGCCAAAAAAGTGTCTTTTGAGGAGAATAAGGAGCAAATATGGATAAAGAAGGAGAAAAATCCAGAAGGATTAAGCTGTTGAGCTCTACACCAAATTGATGAGTTTGGAACACAAATTTCAGGGACTAACTTGTAGAATCTAGAAAATCCAGAGACCACAATGAAAATTTCAGAAGATTTAGGGATAGAATTGTAGAATACTGGAATTTCAGAGGGTGCTTCTGCAACTAACATAAGGGCTTGTTTGCTGAGTGGAATGAAGATCGGCTTAATCAAGAGATCCTACATATATGTTTAACGAGATTACAGCCTTCTCGAATTTTGGGTAGGATCACAAATTTGCACAATTCGCTTCGAAAGTGACTCGAGAGCATGACACGTAGTTATTAACCTTTCATTTTACTCTCCCGTATCCTAATAGGGCAAGTTTTATGTTTATTTTATTGTATTGTAATATCAATTTTGGCATTAATAAAATATGTCATATATAGTGATTATTTAAAAATAAATAAATCATTGACTGTTGCATTACAAATACAAAGAAGCATGATAAGCTTTTTAGTCTTTAGTAAAGATTTCTAGCCACTTCAAGTTCAGGTTGTATATAAATTGGCTCTTCTGAACATTCCTTTGAAAAATTAGCATTCTTGAGATTGTCGAAAAGTTTTTTGTTGTCTTTAGCCTCGACGTGACTCAATAGTACCAAAGATGAAGACACGTGGCCCCCACGGGTATGCCGCAGTGGTAAAGTAGGAATGTTCTATACGATGTATTGAATGTTCGAATATCCCTGACAACTGGAAGGCAACATTTAAAATGTTGGAAAGCAATATCTATGTTGAAAGGCAGAAGTCCACGGGGAGGAAAACCCTCGAATGTCCTGCCCAAATGTGTATAAACTGTAATCGCATCCGGACTAACTCGGGTGGCGAACTGGGGGGAAGGCCGTCATTCCTCAGGATTAGTTGGCGAAACTTGGACGCTTGAATCATCCAAAAAAAAAAAGATGAAGACACGTGAGCAAAAGTTAATCAGTCTTGCCGTTGACGTTGAGTAATAAAGGAGTTAGAGTTTTCATGTTGGGGGAAGGAGGTGAGGGGGTGAAAAATATTAATAGGATGAAGTATATGTATTGTGTATATGTTGAAAAAAAAAATCAAAATTTCTGCATAATTTCAAGAAATTTATAACATGTCATCAATTTGTAATTTTTATTTATTTATTTTTTATGTGGATTTGGTTTAGGATGTTTAGTGAAGTTTGGAGCTTTCGATGGAAGGATTTTTATTTTAGCTAAAGTAAACAATAAAATTTCTCATAAAACTAAAAGAAAAAAAATAAAAAATAAAAAGAGGAAGGAAAACATGCATGCAAATACCAACTACTTCATTTTCTTTAATGCTATAAGACGTTAGTCCAATGATACAACTCAAGGGATTAATACTCAATGCAATGGACCAAACAACTTTTTAATCCTATTGACACTAATATATATAGCTCATAAAATTCATCTAAAAATAAATCTTGTATGAGAGAAATATAGCAAAATTCAAACACTACCAAGAAGCATGCTCGATCAGCCAAAGAGAAGGTCAGGGGCGGCGGCGGCGGCTGGTCCTCATGTGGCTTGTACTCCCTTTTTTTAGGTTACTGGATCATCGGAGAAGCACATTTTGACGACGTCATTCTCATAGGTAACGTCACCCACTAGAAGAATATTAGCATATGGTAAGGAAAAAAAAAATGGTGCTTTTCTTCTTCATGGGAATTCAATTGAGTTACTTGGAGCCAACCATCACAAAATGCTTACTCTATTCCTTTCTTGCCTCTCTCACACACAAATAGATAAATTTATATATATCTAATTTGTCCAAAGAAGGTCTTTAATGACTTGTGGATACTTAGTTCCTTGTTGAAACCTTGTGTAATTCCTTCCCCTTCCCTCCAACAAAAGTACAAACTTTCTAGTACTTATTAAAATGGCCAAAAAGGTGATCTTTTTGGTTTATATTACATTCAATTAGTCTATCAACAACACAAAAAATTAAGCTGAGAGTCCCTAAAACATGATTTCCCGTTGCACGTTTGTCTTCTTATTTTTTGTACTTGGCAAGCATTTTCTCGTCGATGGCCTCGGCTGCAATTGGGGAACTCGCGCCACGCACCCTCTCCCTGGTAATATAGTCGTCAAGCTGATGAAAGACAATGGATTTAACAAAGTGAAGCTATTCGAAGCTGATCCCCTGGCTTTGCGGGCTCTTGGGAGATCCGGAATCCAAGTCATGGTCGGGATTCCCAACGACATGTTAGCATCTTTGGCCGGTAGTGTTTCGGCTGCTGAGGAATGGGTGTCGCGAAATGTTTCTTACTATATATCCAACAGGGGAGTGGACATAAGGTTAGATTTTTAAGCTTATGTTGTTTGATTTTGATCTTGAACTTGTTGCGGTAGCGGAGCTGAGAATGGGGGGAGGGGGGAGGGGGGGGCAAAAAATGTTAAATTTTGTCTTTATTAAATAAAAAATTCATAATTACATATATATTAAAGAAAATTTCAAAATGTTGCGGTCCAGTCGCCTCCTTTGGCTCCGCTACTGATTTGATGTGTTATTGATCAAGAACTTCATGTTGTGCTCGAGTTTTTAAAGGGGCAAATTATACATCTTTTTATATATATTAAATAAAATTTCAAAATTTGTTATGGGACTAGTCGCCATCCCTCCCCCTTGGCTCCGACACTGATTTGATGTGGTATTCAACGAGAAATTCGTCTTGTACTCGGGTTTTTTAGGTATGTTGCTGTTGGAAATGAACCATTTCTCAAGACTTACAACAATCAATTTACAAGAACAGCATTTCCAGCACTTCAGAATGTCCAGGCTGCACTGATTAAAGCCGGCTTAGGCCGGGATGTCAAGGCTACAATTCCACTCAATGCAGATGTCTACGAAACAGATGCCGGAGTTCCCTCTGGCGGAGATTTTAGAGCTGATATCCGTGACCTCATGATATCTATCGTCAAATTCCTAGATAACAATGGCGCGCCCTTCACGGTTAACATTTACCCTTTTCTTAGCCTTTACGCCGATTCCCATTTTCCTGTTGAATATGCCTTCTTTGATGGCACGTCTTCCCCTGTTGTGGATGGCTCCATCACTTATACCAATGTCTTTGATGCCAATTATGACACCCTAGTTTCAGCCCTCGAAAAGAATGGTTTCCCATCAATGCCGATTATCATTGGAGAGGTTGGTTGGCCAACAGATGGGGATCCTAATGCGAAAATAGAATTTGCACGCAGATTCAATCAAGGTCTGCTCAACCGTATAAGTCGAGGCCAAGGCACCCCAAAAAGACCAAGCCCTCCAGACATTTACTTCTTTTCTCTCATTGATGAAGATGCTAAGAGCATTGATCCGGGCAACTTCGAGCGCCATTGGGGCATATTTTATTACGACGGTACCATCAAATATACACTAAATGTGGGAAATAATCGAAATGTAACAGCTGCAAAGGGAGTGCGCTATTTGGCAAGGAAATGGTGCATAATGGCGCCTGATGCCAATACAATGGATCCCAATTTTCCTCAGAGCATTAATTTTGCTTGCACCTATGCAGATTGCACAAGTCTTGGATATGGATCCTCCTGTGGGGGACTTGACATTAGGAACAACGCCTCGTATGCCTTCAACATGTATTATCAGACGATGAATCAGCAGAAAGGGGCATGTGATCAGTTCCACGGTTTGTCCGTAATCACAAGAATCGATCCTTCAAATCGAGGAAGTTCTTGTAAATACGAGATCATGATAGACACAGGTCGACATGAAAAGGTTGAAAATCCAGGAACATCATCAGCAGGAAAAATGCATATTTCACTAGTCTTTGTAGCATTTTTTGTGATTCTCGAGGTTAATTCGTTTTTGTTTCTGATTCTGTGATTTGGAGGTTAAACTGAACCAGTAAGGAAATGGGGAGGGATTGTTGGCTTGTGTCCTTTTTCTTTGAGCAAAATGACAATGTTTACTATTTTTGCTTCAGCTGACAACATATGACATAACAATAGATTTACTTGAGCTTCACAATGAATCAATGAGAGTATTTTAAAAATAATTTTAATCTGGACAAAACTGTCTTGTCTTTTAAAAATATATATATTTTCTTTAGACATGTTCTCTTTGATAGCTATAATCCTTTTGAAGCATGTTCTTTAGACGCAATTGTACGTTTTAAAACACATTTTTTCGTGAATTATAATGAATTTGTAAATTTTTTTAAATTAGTTTTAATGTTTATTACTCAATCATAGATATATTATTAGCATTTTTCTTATTCCCTCACTTTTCCTTTTGCATTTATTGACCTTAATGGCCGTGTTCTCGTACAATGTCGTGTATTTCGCTTTGATCAAGTCTAGGCATGGTGACCATCACAATTTTATTTTAGCATTTTTATGCTTACCATGCAAGCTACGTGAAATGGATACCAATCAAACAATTTGGGAGATCTTAGGGGATGGACTAATGAAATTTGATACTAAATTCAAGTTTAGAGGCTAAATTTGAAACTGCATTAAAAGTTTACTAATTCGGTTGAGAGAAACTAAAGTATAGTGATTCAATTAAAATTTCACTAATGACTGTTCATGCAAAATCCTTATTCATACAAGATTGTTGATAAATAATAAATTAAGTGAGTTGAGGCATTAAATTCATTTCATGCGTACTAGAATCATGCGGAATCCGAATTATGTAAATAAAGGAATTTTGATTTTGTAATTATTCTAAATTGTTCTAAGAAATATATAAAACTAGAGTTTATATCAATGAATGAATGATTGTATTGGATTTAGAGTCCATCTATTGCTATCTATTTCAATTCTCAACGATGTAATTTAGTCATATATATATTTTGTATTGGATTTAGAGTCCATCTATTGCTATCTATTTCAATTCTCATCGATGTAATTTAGTCATATATATATATGCATTCTTGACAATCGTTATATCTAATATATTTAATTTTCTTTTCAAGATAAATTAATTCTATTCTAATCACGACCCGAATCCATTCCTAATACGAATTCGGATTAATAGAATACAAATTTTAGATTATCTATATAATTGCACATGTGATAAATGTTATTCTCAATATTTATTGCATATATGTTAATTTTGTCGCATTCTAAACTTATTGTGAGTCTCTCAACACTATAACTAGTAACTAATTCTCTAATTGTTAACTATGCAATTAAATACAGCAATGTGTATACAAAATTAATCAAGAAATGCAAGAAATATTAAACTACCGGTCTTGAATTAAAATAAATAAATAATACAGTTCATCTTTATCTAATATACTAGTATATGCACGTGCGATGCACGTGCTGTAGTTTAATTGAGTATTTAATAGCGTGGAATGACTTTAAGGTATTTTTTCATTATAAGTAAGGTATTGTTTGTATAATTGTATGAATTGATTCTTTTGTCAGTTAATCTCTCTTACAATGGAATGTTATAATGTATGTATGTTTTGGTATTAGAAAAAGGATTGTGAATTGATGCAACTTGTATGAATTGCATGTTCTGTGAAAGATATCAATTTTAGTGTGATCTCAGAAAATTTATCGATTTCAATCTTCCATATGTTGCAAGTATGATCCATCAGCAAGTTCTGAAAGTTTTATATATTACTACATATCTAATTCGCTCACAAATTAACATCACAAAAACAAAACAAAACAAAAAAAAAAAAAAGACAATATTGAAAAAACTATTAAAAGACTAAAGGCACAGAGACTACTAAAAAAAACTTATGACAGACAAAAGTTAAGAAACTACACCTTCAACTGCCAACTCTTCTCTAAGGCGCTCCTGAACACACAAAGTTTTGTAAATATGTTATTCAAATATCCTTCTCCTTCCTTATATTATGTTATACATGAAAAGAGAGGGAAATTTGAAGAGAAACCGAGAAAATTTGATTAATATTATTCCACCCTTTAAATTGCTAAGAAACTCCAGCTATATTTCAGACTGCAAAACTTGCCTCCTTTAAATGAAGAATGAGCATTTAAAACAGAATACTTGTTGATTATAAGAACAACATGTTAAAAGGGAACTTTCACCATCACTTCGGTTTTATTAATTGATTATCAATTGTTCTGCATCTCTATTTCTTCTTATTTGGTTAGAAAAAACTGAACCTTTTCTACTTGTTACCAAATAGACAATAACTGGAGACTGCATAACTCAATTGTCCCCTCCTGTCTCCTAAAACAATATAGCAGTATAATAAACACTCTTGCAACCTTTGGGTTACGCTAAAAAACCAAGGAGAACGGTACCTATTTGTCCAAGAAGCTCAACTTTGATTCCATTGTGCTCAACCTTCTTCCCTGAAACTGGTTCAATAGAAATCTGGAGAAATGATACACGAATGTATGCACATGATACATTCGTCAAATTTATACATAAAAATAACTTTAAACCTGAATTTATATACATAAAGGTCACAACCTTAATGTAAAGAAAAATACCTTGCCAATAATGTTTTCTTGACTTTGGAAAAGTGGGACCATTGATGTTTGGCCATTTTCCTTCCTCAACTGAACCTATTGGAACATTAAATAACCAAGAGGAAAAATGCTAAGATTGGGAATTACAGTAGTATAGTATTTATTGTTATACTATCTACGACCAACAAAAGAGTTAATGGAGCAAACAAAATAATGATAAATTGTCAAATAAACATGATAGCAAAGTAGAGGTTTGTAAAACTAACAATTCCACCCCCACCCCCAACCAATCCCCCATATCGCATTTGTTGAGACCATATCCTCCATTCAGAGAACTGAAATTTTGCTAACTATTTCCATTGAAATGAACCGGCTACAGAAATGAACAAAAACAGAAGCTTGCATTTTGTGTATACCTCCCATTTGAATATATGGTCTATGCCCACCAATGAAAACAATGTAAAACCGTGACGGTAAGCATATACCTGCTTTCGGGACTTTCCNCAATTCCTACAATTAGATTAGACACGAACACCAACTTTAAAAAAATCCTAAATCTTGTCTAACTATCGAATCCCAATTCAATCTCCTCTTTTTTTATCTAAATTATCTTTTATGTTATCCGATGCAAAAATATTTTCATCAAACTCCCTTATTTGAACTCGAGAATTTATATTACCTCCTATATATGGTAAGACATCATTGTAAACATTCTCATCATCGTTACAGTAATCAACAATTCAAGATTGTGCATTACTAGCATCACTTGCTACTAAAACTGAAAGAAGACCAAAAAAGAAGTAGGCTAGGGATCGACGTAAATAATTTGCAACTCTACTCAAAATTTGTTTTATTTCATTATTTTTCTAAACGTCGAAATACTAAAGATTGTTGATTGTAATTTATAGGTTTGTGTGATTTGCATTAATTTGATATTTGTTGGGCTCAATTTGCTTTTTAAGTTATAAAAATTTGTTGACCTTTGCTAGGCTAACTTTGACATATTTTTAAAACAAACGTGTGTGTATTTTGATGTTTAAGCTGTGTGGTAAATGATATGGGTTGATCGAATTATCATGCGCATACGGCATACCCATATGCGGGGTGTTTCGAAATTGCCTCAAGAGTATGTACACATTTTAGAACACTGATAATTATCCCACACAACTTCTGCTACAGGTTTCTACAAGTTAAAATAAATCAATTATTACTTGTTATACATGCATGCAAATAATATAAAATACCTTGAACACTAGAAAATTCTAAAATTTACCTTACTGTTCTTCTCGGCGACTACTTGTGCATATTCAAGTAATTGAGGATAGAAAATCCTGAAAGTTATGATTACAGTTAAGTTAAATCTAACATACACAAAACCAAAAAACGATAGTCTGGTTGTATATAAGAGAGTGGGATAACCTTGTTATGGGGCGAGAGATCTGAGTTTGGGGCTTCCCCTCAACAGCTAGAGCAGGGACAAGGCTTCCAATATCTCTGAGGACTCTCCGATTTCTCCCTAATGCCCGCACGTTCTCCGATATCTCCGAGGACTCTTCCGATTTCTTCGAGGATTGTTAAATCATATCCAAATCAAAATATTTTTAGGAGCAATTAGGGTGGACAGCTTAAGACCGAGAAATCTAGGGAATGAAAACAAATGGAGAAATGGTTAAACTACGTAGTTTTGTTTGACGATTGGAGACAAATTTTAGGGCGGACATCGGTTGAAATCACAGAAATTCTAGGGTTTGGTTTGGAGCACGCATGAGAAGAGGAAGAGAAGAAATTACCGTGTCGACTGAAAAGGAGGAAAAAAAATCCAAACCAAAACGACGTCGTTTTGGACGAGAGTTTCTACAGTAGGATAAGGCTTCACTCCTTTTATATATGTAGGAAAAAGGGATTTAGTTAAATATGTTTCTAAAGATAAAATAAGAAGAAGAATAAAAAAGTATCACCCGAAATTTATAACTACAAAAAAGAGATGTCACGGTCTAATTCTTCTTATATTTATTCAATCCCAAATCTTGATTCTTCAAATTCTTGATTCAATCCATGTGCTAATTTGTTCTCCTCTCCAACATATTTTGAATTGACCCCTTGTTGTTGATAAATTTTATGATATGAACATGATTTGAGGAGGGAGGGAGGGAGGGAGGGAGAGAGACGCTTGAATGTTTTGCCCAAGTTTGGTATTTATAGGAATACAAAATTAGGTAAAAATCGCACTCAATTTGGGTTCCGAAAGAGTTCTAAACAAAAAATAAAAAATTAAAAGGAAAATTAGCCCATGAGATGAAATTTGGCATGTGACCCCCGCGACGCCTTCTTGCTCGTACCCACACAGACATCTGATTTTGCTCTCGGGTCACTTTTGAAGTGGTCGGGGGTAGCCACGCAGGCTCGTGCCACGTGCTTTTTCAAACAATGAATAGCCTTCAATATATTAATTTATCATAATTTTCTTTCGTAATATCGGATTGAGCGGATTCAAAGTGCGTTGGAAAGTTAACTTAAAGGAATATTCAAAGTGAATTGGAAAGCTAACCAAAATGGATACAATTCTTCTAGAAAAATATCAATTTTTCAATTCGAACGTTTGTTATGCAAAAAATGGATGATTTTGAAACTGAAAATTTAAAGCATAACTTTTTGAGATGGAGATTTATTTGTGAAGATACTTTAGCTATTTCATTTGACCTCCAATTGCATCCAATTGATCTTATGTGATATTCAATCATCGTTTTATGGTTCGAAACATCTACTGGATGTTTGTACTTTGGTCATCGAACTTTGAATTTCCTTATTTTTTTTTTCCACTTTTGGCTCATTTCTTTCATGCATTGATTTCGTTTTTGCCAAAGATTTTTTCTTATTTTTGAAATAGTATACAGTAAAAATCTGAAAAATGAATTTTTCCCTCATTAGAATCTATTTGAAATGCAAAATGCAAGTTGAGTATCACTCATCACCTACACCATAAAATTCAATAGTGATCAAATCAAACGAATTGGCTTAACTTCAAATCTCAATCATTCACCAAGAGATTAGTGGTACTTTTAGGATGCCAAAGCATTGATAATCCGAGAGACTTTAGGTCAAGACGATCACAAGAGACGAGAACTATAGTTAGCAATGAGGTGAAGCACGTGCGATCATGTAAAGGAGCTCGCCTAATTACATTCTAAAGCTAGCATTCGTAAAGTTGTTCAATAATACTGTAGGAATTGACATGACCTGAAGCTTGCACAACACGCAGACTAAAGGATGCCTAAACTTTAAGTATTTAACTCCCTCTTTTATTCACGAGTAACATCTTTGTACATCCTAAGTAATATTATCTACCCCATTGTCAAAATTACCCTAGCCGTCTTACTATAAGCACGATGAATCAATCACTTGTTAGGGTCATAATCACAAAACGTAATGATAAATTTCGCATGAAATGATAATTTTCTAAAGATACATATCTTTGGTCATATTCTTAATTTGTACAACCTATAGTTAGTGGTGGCAATCGAGCCGAGCCAGCTCGTGGGCTCGGCTCGTTGCCACCGAGCCACGAGCCACGAGCCACTCGGACTCGTCAAAAGACGAGCCCGAGCACGAGCTGAGCGGCGGGCTCGCTAGGCTAGCCGAGCCCTGCTCGGCTCGTTTTTTCACGAACAGCTCGTGGGCTCGTGA